GCAGTCAGCTTCTTCTGTAGATGTGCCCAATGTAAAGCAATCCAGGCCCTTGTCCTGCCATCTGATCTGCAAGTCAAAATCCTTGTACCTATGAAGAGTTCCTTAAAAACAAGGGAATTCCACCCAGATGTTGCTGTCCAATTTCAGAATACTGGCCTTTCCATTAAAATACTTGCAGTTTTAGTAGTTTACAACAGTATTGATGATGATGCTGCAGTTACAATTTGTATAACATATGACTTTTATTTTGACTTTACAATCGTTAAAGAATACTAATATAGACAGTTCTTAACACAAGAATAATGTCTCGTATGTTTTGTGATTGATAATGACCGTTTCTATTATAGTTTGTTGTATGTGATACCCCAATTTGTTTGGCAAAATTTAACAGAAAGGAACACAGAACAAATGAGCTTTAGATTTCCAATTGCTGCTCTTGCCAGTAACCCTTAAGCACTTTGATAACCCGAAAGGTGAACTTCATAAATAGTAGTGTATTTGGCTTCATGTCTTTCAAAACAGCCCTGACAAGTGCTATTATTGTAAAGTTAAACATTGGTGATGTATTTAATGTACAATAATGTAATAACTAGTCTGATGCTGCAAACACAAATTTAGTGCAGGCACTAAATCCCAAAAGCCACTGAGATTAATGGGACTCCTTCTAGTGTCTTTGGATCAGCCCCACAGAGCCTCCCGTTAAGGATAAAAAGGCTAGTCTAAAGGATAAAGCTCTTCACTGGGACTTGAGCTCTTGGTTCAATTCCGAGCTGAGCCACAACCTTCCTATATAATCCTGGGGAGGTCACTTAACCTACTAAGTTTCTGTACGCCATTAAAAAAAAAAAAGAACAGCTCTGGATGTTTAGACACTATAGTAATACACTCAATATATGGCAATAGGTCTCAACCCTTTTAGAGGCAAGGCACCTTTCCAAAAATGCCAGATCTTAGCTTTCATTTGTTTCTTGACTATGGCAAAATAACAGAGCAATTCTTTGATTGCAAAAAACTCGGAAAGACCACAACAGGTCAGAAAGTTTTTGACACAACGGATTCCTGTTTGAGATTCCTGGGTTTATCTTATGAATCATCATCATCATCAATAGTGTTGTAAACTACTAAAACTGCAAGTATTTCAATGGAAAGGCTACTATTCTGAAATTGGATGCCAAAATCTGGGTAGAATTCCATTGCTTTTAGGGGACTCTTCATAGGTACTTGCATTTTGACTTGCAGATCAGATGGCAGGACAAGGGCCTGGATTGCTTTACATTGGGCACATCTACACAAGATGCTGACTGCATAGTAGCTGAATAATACTGCACAGCAATGTGTCACAGTGCAAACAGTGCTAATACGTTACTGTGCATTATTATTAATATTGCACATCACCCTTAAAAAGATGTCATGACATGCTTGCTGAGAATCGTGCTTGTCAAATATATAGATATTTGTCAAATAAACCGCGTGTCCTAAAACTCTGGAATCCATTACTGTCAAAATGCATTTCTTTGCACCATAACATAATCTTTTTATGAATTTTTCCTTGTAATGTCCTGCCTTGCAGAGTTGCACCAGCCTAGACTGTGTATGTTTTAAACCAATGATACTAAACTGCTGCATGGACCCCACCTCAGCAACCTTGCTTCCATTTAAAAGGGACTTCCTTCAGGTTTAACACTCAAAAAATATCACAGTGCCCGAATCAAGTTAAAGAGAAATAATGCTGAAGTAACACGCGTCACATATGCATCATTCTTTATACTTTCTTCTATGCGCACACAGCCAGCCAGAAGACAAAATAAAAATCTATTAAATATTCAACAACCCCCTTCCAAAAGGTCTTTTGTGTTATTTGTAACTATGCTTCTCTGCAGGGGGGGAGGTTTCTGCTTCCTGGCTGACAGCAGAAAGCCAATCTGAATGTTAGCAGCACCCTTACAGGGGTATAGGTTATAGCTGTGTTGGTCTAAGGATGTAGGCAGACAAAGTTCTTTGGGTACATCTGATATCTTTTATTTGTCCAACTAAATACTTGGAAAACCTCCCCCCCTATTTTTTCCAACTATTTGAATTGGTCTAATTATAAAAGATACCGGATTTACTCAAAAAACGTTGTCTGCCTTATCACTACCCTTGGCTTTTCTTTAGGAGTGGCTTTCTCGTACACTCGTATTTATAGGGATTTTTTTTTTAAAGTGGGTCCTGTCACTTTTAAACCTCTCCTTTTTGTTGTTCCGTTTTATGACTCTTTTAACAGAGTTATTGTGGAGCCAAAAGTTTTCTTTTCCTTGAAAGATGAAGAAAGCTCTGGCTCCAACATCTTCCCCCTCCAAAAACCATTTTTTTTTTTTTAAAGAAATTTTTCGTGTTCCAAGCCGAATCAAGTCCAAATCCATGACAGAGTCCAGAACCGTAAGCGGCCCTACAACCTGCAAACTCCCACCAGGAGCTTCAGATGTTTCCAATATCTTTTGGTGGGCATCTTACATGCAGGCCCAAGCTTGGGGTTAGGGTTGGGATGACCTTAAGCAAAGATGACCCGAGCAGGGTGTAGGGCCCTGCTCCCAGATGTGAGGAAGCCAGTGTTGGATTTGGTGGCATGGGGCGGTGGGACTGAGTGGCTGGACACGCTGGATTCGGTGACAGGGGCAGAGGGGTATGCTGAGCAGCCGGATGTGAAGCCGGAGGCAGCACAGAACTGCTGTGGCTGCTCCGCCTGGCTCCACAGGGCCCCCCAAAGCGCAGGGCCCAGGGCATTTGCCCCAATTCACCTTCCCCTAGGGATGGCCCTGCCCCAAGTTTCGCTTGCCTTGAGTCATACGGTTGCAGGAGCAAGCTAGGGAGGACTCTCCCATTTCCATAAAGTGGGCTAAAACCCCAACACCTGGGTGGGTACTAAACCAGGCCAGAACAGCGGTTATCCCCCTGGGCGCTTAAGGAAAACTGCCTTCACGGACCCAGATACAGCGCGTTTCCCCTGTCAGGTCCCTGAAGGCCAGTCTCAAGCTGCTGCAAAGGATCCTGCCACCAGAGCCCAGAAATCCCTTCCTTTCCCACCCAAACCAGTGATCTCCAGGCTGGAGCGGGGGCCATGAAAGAGACAGAGGAAAGGTGGCTGGGGAAACTTTTCTTTCGTTATTATTTTAAAGGGGAGAAGAGCCGGACTCTCCCCCGGCTGGGCAAAACCGCGCTTCAGCACCGCTGCCGGGGAAAGCCTGGCCGGGCAATTGAAGGTAAAGCAGCCGCCCCGCCCCCGAGGGGTCACGTGGTGCGGGCGCAGCGCGGGAAGCCCCAGGGCTTTGCGGAAACCTCCCCGCCTCGCGGGGCTCAGCCGCTCTCTAATCGATCGCAGAGCAACCGATCGGCAGGCGCCATCGATTCCATCGGGCTTCGCCAGCCTCCCTACCGCCCGCGCGCGCGCCAGATGTCCCCACAGCAGCCGGAGCCAGGTACCGGTCTCCCGCCTCGAGCGGGGATCTGCCTTGTGGGCTCATGTACAGCCCCCTCCCCGTGTGCAGGGCGCTGACATTGCAGCTGAGCCAGAGCAGGATGCTCAGGATCTCTCCCCCGTGCCGTTCCGGCTAGCGCGGGGGGGTGGAAACAAGAGCCGGGATCTTGTGCGGTGCGAGCCCTGCAGGCAGAGCGGGCTCCTCCCACCTGCTGCAGAGCCGGGCAGCCCACAGCCCTACCTTCCCTGCCTACCGCCGGCCAGCGGTTGAGGTGAAGGGGGGCAGGGGGCCAGCGTTGCCAGGTGTGAAATACGAAACGATCTTCTTAGTAGTTTTTCAGCAATTATAGAAGTGGCCTAACTGGCAAAAACGATCCTTCACTGGACCCCCAAGCCTAACCCGAACCTAGCCTCAGCCAGCCCATGGCTAAGAACAAGCGAGACCCGCAGCTGCCAGGTCTTAAATACAAAATGATGGTATTGGAAGCTCAAAACGATTGTAACTGCTGAAAAACTGCCATACCCTGAACCCCAAGCCTAACCCAAACTCAGCTTCAGCCAGCCACAGTGTCTAAGACCAAGGGAGACTAGCAGTTGCCAAGGTGTTAAATATGAAACGATGGTACTGGAAGATCAAAATGTTTGTAATTGCTGAAAAACTATTGTACGCTGAAAAAAAGCATGCAAATAAGCATGCAAATAAGTTGTTTTATTTATTTCATATTGCTCACTGTAAGCCTGCAATGAGTGAGCGAGAGCTGGGTCATCAAAATTGAAGGGTTTGTTTTATTTTGAAGTAAGCAGCCCTAAGAAAGTGCCGACAGCAAGCCCAAAAGTAATTTTGTGCTCAGATCAAGTGTCTCAGCTAAAATCAAGAGGGGGCATCTGAATCCTAAGATTTCTGGGCTTGGGCCTGTATGTAGGATTCCAGCCAGTGGATCAGGTAGTATCTGATGCCCTAGGGTGAGAGGCTGGGAGGGAGGATGTTCACTGGTTGTAGTGCCATATGTGGTGTTTAGAACAATTAAGTTCTGCCTACTCAGTTGATACGGTTTTTGGAATGATTGAATTTTGCTCAATTGATATGATTTGGCTGATTTGACCTGGAACACAAAATATATTAATAAAAAATAAAAAAGACAAACCCAAAAGTCAGTTAAGACTTCCTGAGAATGACTTGGGTTTTGCATATGCTGCATCAACCACCTCAAAAATTATCATACATTTTGAACACTGTTCTTATTATTGATCGTACATTTACAAGGGTTGAGATTATCATCTAAATACAATGATTATCTTATACCTGGCAACACTGTAGTGGGTATGTGAAGCCCAAGGCTTCCACACAGCCCTGATGCTTGAGTTGTGCTCATCTGAATTTTGGAAGACAACTCTTAGGCTTTCTTCAATTGAGTTGGGGACTGATTTGGTCTTGCAGGCTGCCCCCTGCTTTTTCAGGACCCCTCCTGTCCAAGGCAAAGAAGAAGTAAATAATAAAGGTTTAAAGAGCAGCCACAAGTTTGTAACCATCTTTGTAACTAGCCCTTCTCTGTGTTTTGTCTTAAAAGCAGAGCAGTCCTAAGTGGCTATGGAGCGTGCATTTACTCCACTGGAGAGTCTGCTTCCCACAGGTACAGTATCTACTTGCTTTTGATTTGATTTTTAATGAGCTTTTATGCCAATAATATGTTTCCTGTGTGTGCCCTGCACACAGTTGCAGTCTTGGTTTGATGGGCAGCTGATTTATTACCTGCTGTTTTAAAAGGTGAGTTAGGGGCCCACCACTCTCTCAAATGAAAGCTGGGTAGATGCCAGATGTAGAGTTGTTACATGTTTTCAAGCACTAACTTTGTAGCTGGTTGGGTCTTTTTATAGCTGGATAGCCATTTTTATCATATAGGATCACTTTGCACATGTGGCCATTGGTCTAAATTTATTCCATGACCTGCCAGTTAATCACATAATTGCTTTCCACATGTGGCAGATCTAGATTTATTGTGCAATTCACCCATTCATTGCATAATATACATAACATGTAGCAGGGGCCTTACTCAAGGCCTGGTGCTCCCTTGACTGGTTGAGCCAATCAGTTATGGTAAGAGGGCCGTACAGGGACCTAAGCAGGTAAATAGAACGTGATAGAAACAGGGTGCCACATTGCACCATTTTTAACTTGTTTGGGTTTTTAAACCAATGATAGGAGACTGATGCAGGGCTCCCCATATGCACTCCCTACTTCATTTTAAAAAGAGACTAATTTTAACTTCCTCATGTGTAAAATGCCTCAACTTGTTTACATGAGAAAGTTGCAATGGTTCCATTTAGCTTTCTATTTTAAGGAATTTTAGTCAAACCAGTGCAAGTTCCTGTGTTGATGCTTTTTTTGTGTGCCTTGAAAGAAAGAGACTTGGGGGTCATCATTGACCCCAAGAAGAACATGAGCCTGCAATGTGATGCTGCGGCTAGTAAAGCGACCAAAATGTTGGCTTGCATCCATAGATGCTTCTCAGATCCCAGGACGTCATTCTCCCCTTGTACTTGGCCTCAGTGCCAGCTGGAGTACTGCGTCCAGTTTTGGGCCCCACAATTCAAAAAGGATGTGGAGAAGCTTGAGAGAGTCCAGAGAAGAGCTACGCACATGATCAGAGGTCAGGAAAACAGACCTTATGACGACAGGCTGAGATCTATGAGGCTCTTTAGCCTGGAACAGCGCAGGCTGAGGGGTGATCTGATGGCCACCTATAAGTTTATCAGGGGTGACCACCAGTATGTGGGGGAATGTTTGTTCACCAGAGCGCCCCAAGGGATGATGAGCTCGAACTGTTATAAACTACTGCAAGACCGTTTCAGGCTGGAATTAAGGAAGAATTTCATTACTGTCCAAGCCCGCAAGGTCTGGAACAGCCTGCCATCAGAGGTGGTTCAAGCACCTACATTGAACA